GGAGACAGGAAATATTTTTGATCTTCAAAGTTTGAAACTATGAATAGTAAATCCTAGTATAATTCTGGACTTAACCATTGTAAACATTCTTATATGCTTACTAGCATAGCATTGTGCTTCGATGCCCAGGTGCCTTTATTTAGCTAAATTCTGAAGATTCTTAACATACTAATGTATGAGTTCACCTCTGAAACCGGGGATAGAGTAGAAATACTGGACAGAATATTCACTTTGAGAATTAAGTGGCTGTCACATTTATCACCCCTTAAACTTTGTACATTAAATGAATGCCTAAGTTTACTTCTTTTGTATAGGTTGTGTCTGGTGGTGTTGGAGCTAATTTAGTTATTCGAGCTGGATTGACAGAAGTGGCTAATCACTACAACATGAGATTTGTGTCTCCTCCACCACATTTATGCACAGACAATGGAGTTATGATAGCCTGGTAAGTACCACAGCTTGAGATTAAACGTAACATCATTGTGAAAAGTAGATTGGAGTAGAGCATATCACACACGTCTACAGATACCTTTCGAGGAGAGAAAGTATGTTTTTAAACGAATCGAACAGTAGTATTTCTCCTTTTCTGTGTATATTGTTGTGTCTTTTTCTAGTGCATCTGTTGTGTCCACTCCATTCCAAGTGTGAATAGTAGACGGAACATAGTAGCTATCCATGTACGTAATCCTATAAATTAGGCTTTCACTATTCCTTCTACTGTTATTCCCATTTAAACGAACGACCAGACATGATAACTTGCTACAGAATTTCTCTAAGCTAACATTTCATTTATATTTTATAGATTTCGTATCGAAACGAATTGTTTTATGATTTAGGAGTGTGAAGAAGTAAAAGTCGATGAGGTTGGAAGCAGTGTTTATTAGGACAGGCGCATTGAAGTTACATAAATTTGGTATACCTCATCTTCAATGCTTTATTTGCACGTCATTTGCAAACCGGTCAAATGTAACCACAGCCGATAGCTTTTTGGATTCTGCACAGTGTTTTTAACGTTCTTGTGACAGTTCTCTTCTTCGATTACCCTTTTCTACTGCGCAAAATATACTGTAACTTTTCTGAGTTCGTTTACTGATATACTACTTATATCTGATTGTAAGTAGCACTATTTTGGAAACATGAAGACGATAAGTTACCTTCATAATAAGTGGACTAAGAAAGCACTTAGGATTAAAGCGCCGTACAAAACTTCAGGTCATACCAATGCATTTAGAGAATCGAACCGTTACACTATCCATCTGTTTTTTGGTGTCAGAAAGTATTACGAAACCGTATAAATGCGTACATTGATGTATGTTATAAGAATAGTGGATCTATTATTTGTCAACGCATTTTTCTACATAGTGTTGTAATATTTCTTCGGTGTATATATTTTTAATGTGTTGAAATACGACTAAGATGCACGCGGAACTCGTTTGCTGGTGGTCGAAAACCACACACGTGTCGCAGCGATATGTGGCGATCGTAATACTGTGCTGGGTGATACACAGTCAAAATTTTCCGTCATTTTTGAATTAATTTGGTGAATGGTGACTAACAGTGGAATCTAGGATGTGCGTTTCGTCCTGTTTGGGATTCGTCAACTGGATGTGCCCGCATCCCAAGTGAGTGGTGGTGTTCCCACTGAGGCTAGAACCCGGTACCCATATTTTAGAAAGCTAGAGCGTTATCCACTAGATTACTTGGACCAAGAGAGTTACTGCTTGTGCAACGGGTATCAGTTAATACTTAATACGTTATTATTACTTGTTACATTTAGTTGACGAGCACCGAGTCTGCATCCTGGATCCCACTGCTAGTCATCATCCAGCAAATTACCTCGAGTTAAATCCTCAGACATCGTTGAAGCATCCTCACAATGGGGTCGATGTGTCAACAGAGGGCGAACACTTCGGTCCAATCAATTAATGGGGAAGTCCAAATTGAAATAAATTTCTGTTAAATTTTTAATTATCAGACATTAGTCTACCCTAACGAAGTACAGCACAAAAGCATGACTGGCGAGTGGTGGTAATCACTATTTCCCATTTATGTATTTAGTTTTCTGGTATTATGTATTGTATAATATTAAGAATACCTACTTGGGTGCATTTAAATGTATTTTTAAAATTTCCCTTTGACCGTTTACACAGGAATGGATACTTGTTACAGAAAGAAAAGTCTCCTCGCATTACGGAAGATATTTCTTCAGTAGATTTTACACCAAGGTTTGTTTAGTTCTCGCTAAGTACTTTTTTCTGGTAACTGTAGGCATGATTAATATCGTTTCATTTTGAATTTATTTCACACAAAATACCATGCATGTGGATCATCATCTAAGGTTGCTCTTGATTGCAACCAGACCGAGAAAAACAGGATTTATCGAATGAAATAAACTATTTTATTTTATGACTTTTCTTTAGTTGCATACAACTCATATTAAAAAGACACAATCAGTATAAGGTAAAGTAACGTCTTATAATCATTATATGCGACGTAGATAAGAGCAATTGAAGACTGTTAACAAATGGGCATCATTTGTCAGACTTTGCGACTAAGCAGTAAACAGAATGAAGAGATACAGGGTATTAATAAACTAAACGCGTAAATACGTGAAGATGCACTGTGCTATAAACATAAGTGAGTACATTTCTATTTCGGCCAACTATGCACCATATGACTAAGAAAACAAGTTATCAGAAATCGAACTAGTGACCACTGTTGAATGTAGCTTTGGCTATTGTATGCATCGTCGGCCAGCTTGACGAAGCCAGACGAAAAAACCTACTTTTAATTAGCGAAAAATATTATCACGAGAATTGTCATCCACGATTTGACAGATGCGGATGTTCCCAACAGTACAATACTATCATATCGTCAATCTGTCTCAAAACCCTGTACTGTTTTGTTTAAGTTTGTATTCTACTAACATTCGAAATGGGTTCATTTACTAGGTGCACTTCCAGCTTGTCAGTCACGCGAAGACGATTTGGGCGTCATGCATAACTGTGCTTACTCGTTGACTTTCAAAAGAATTTGAATATAAGGTCTCCAGTTAATGTCACGCAAAGAATATTAAATCTTCAGTTGAAAGCATTCCATAAATGTGTCATATAACATCTTTATCCTTGTTAACCTAGAACTCCCGGATTTCGTCGTGTATTTACTTGCAACAGGGAGGCATTTTATAGACTGAAATTATCATTCGTTAACTTTGTTGACTAACCGTAGATAAATATGGTTCTACTGGCCTTTCCGATTGACTTACGAGAGTTATCTGACCAGCGTATTGGTGTATCTGTTTCTTGTAATGACTGTCTGTCTGTCTGTTTTCGACATACAACTTTGCACAAATGTGCGGAAGTTCAAGTCGCCACATTCCGTGTAGCACGCGAAGCAAGAGAAGAAAGTACAAGAAAAGCATAATAGAAACAGTGAGCAGAGGTGTGAGACAAAGGAGTAATAAAGAAATACAAAACAGTTTCATTGAAGATCATAAGTCACAGGGAGTGGATGCATCTGCGCCACTGAGAACGATTTTGAGCCATGTCACCAATTGTTTCCAACCATAGATTTTTGCCGTCCCGAGGACCCCAGCCTGGAAGTCTACACCTTCCTACGTGGCTAAGACCAACTGTTGTGGATTTCATTGACTGATGCCAAGTTTTTGTTTGACCGCCGCTAGCTTTTTTCCAGCCTGACCCTATATCCGCTAACATAGCTCGCCGAGGGAGGCGATGACTTGGCATACGTAACACATGTCCTAACCATCTCAGTCGATGTAGCTTCACGACTTCGTCGATTGATTTCCCCTGTTTACCTAGAACTCTACGCCTAACCTCCATGTTGCTCACCTTATTATGCCACTTTACACGGGAAATAGAACGCAGGCACCTATGATCAAAGACAGCTAGTCTTTTCATGTCTTCCACTCTCAGTGGCCAGGTCTCACAACCATAAAGGAGGACGGAGCGGACTGATGAGCAGTACACCCGCCCTTTGGTCGATAGTCGAACATCTCGTCTACGCCAGAGTCGGCGTAAACTAACAAATGCGAAACGAGCCCCTTGTATTCGTGCTGAGATTTCGTCAGAGATCAGCCCGTTGGGGCTGATGGTACTTCCCAAATAAGTGAAGCGGTCAACGTGCTCTACCACTTCACTTCCTATTTTTAAACTAGGCGTCGATGTAGTCCAGTCCTGTAACATCATCTTGCATTTGGCGGGAGCGAATCGCATGCCAAACATTCGTAGATTGCTGTTCAAGGTGTTTAGAAGACTCTGCATTTCGTCAGCGTCTTCGCCTAGAAGGACTATATCGTCTGCATATTCCAAGTCAACGAGATTATTCCCAGGTAGCAAGTCAATCCCTGAATCGCTGAAGTCACCTAGGGTTAAGTCCATTAACATATCTATGATGAAGTTGAATAGAAAAGGAGATAATGGGCATCCTTGACGGACACCACTGGTCGTCATCAGTTCAGATGACAGCTCGCCGTAAGCCCTCACCTGGCTGTATGAGTACGAATAGAGTGCCTTAATCAGTGCAATATATTTTCTTGGAATTCCCTTTACAGCCAAGCATCTCCAGAGAACTTCCCGATCGACAGAGTCGAATGCTGCCTTTAGGTCAAGAAATATAATGACTGTTGGATGCCGGTAGGAATGACTATGTTCTAGAATCTGTCGGAGGGTGAAGATATGATCAATACACCCTCTTCCTGGTCTAAAGCCTGCCTGGCTCTCTCGTGTTTGTGCTTCCCGAGCACCACTCAGTCTACGCATGATTATTGAGCCTAAGACTTTAGATACTTGTAATGACACCTAGATATTGTGCGATTTCATTCCTATAAATACGTATCTCACATAGAGTCAGCAAGAATGAAAATAATTGCAGAGTCGACTGAACTGCTTCACCATTTTTCGTCGACATTTTTTTTATTGTTTTGTTATATATGATGAGAGAAGAAAGTGAGTCTCAGCGTTTATTTTTGTATTTTATAGGTCTACATTTGGCCTTGATTTTCGGGAGTCAGTGAAACAAGCAAATATATCGATTGAACCAATCAAACTGCCCGATTCTGTTTTCCAGTCATAAACATCTTTTAACTTTAACTTATCTGTAGTATGAACACTTTCGCGAATATTGTGCTGTCGATGTAGCCGGTACAGTGTATATCTTGACTTATTTTATTATGAGTTTATTATAACCTACCTCGATGATGAAAAATGATGAAAATATTGTGGTACGCTTTTACATAAAATATACGCATTGCGTCACTTCTATATTCCTCTTTTATACAATGTGAAAGTATTATATTCCTCTATTTCAGGGGAGCAGTTGTGGTCATAGATTCACACTGAAGGAACGATCCTGGGTAGTTTACTTTCGATCCTCCATTACTTTGTCAATGTTCGAAATTGAAGCCATGTCATAGGCTAGATCGAAATTCAGGTTTAATAAGTGCTCTTACTGAAACTAAAGTGCAAATACGCGAACTGCTCCACAGTAATGCGAAATTCTTATGCCGATAATGTGTGTCTGATGACAGAGCTTCTAACCAGAGAAATCAGCAGTTGAGCAACCACTTTATGTCTTTTGTTGTGATTGTTAAGTGAGAATGTGTTTTTCTATTATCGTGACTCAGGGATTTATTCTTACGAATGCCCTACCGCTCTTTTAACGATATTGAACCAAATTGGTTCGATGTCAAAACAACCGATGGTCATTCTATTCGCTTACTTACAGTCACTTTTCAGTTGCTTATCACCATTTTCCCAGCTGGATAAAATCAGTATGTCAGGGGAACTCAGTTTCCACCTAAAGTATTTCGTAAAGTTAAGAAGAATCTTGACGAAAACTGTATTTCAGGTGCTATCTAGCGTAGAGACGACAAAAATAATTTAGATCAGGCACAATCACCAGCCCAAATTGGTACACACCATCAGATGAGGAAAAAGCACATGAACTATTGTGATATATATCAGATTTATCGGTGGTTTTTACAATGTGATATCTATCTAAGTAAAATGAGACTGTTATATATTACGATAAGGAAATAACTAAGAGCAGTGAGTTATAATGATAGTGACACCTCTGAGAGAGAGAGAGAGCTACAGTTTGTCTAAATCTTGTAGATGTTCTCGCCGAAGGAGTGAAAATGACAGCAACCTATGGTTGAATTTGTTGTATATGCCAGTTTTAATTTCGGACATTTTAACAGTCTTCATTAAATCAATCACAATTTATTTCTCCACTCTGAATATCTACACCCACTTAGAGACAACAAGTTACGAAGAAGTGAAAGTCTGGTAGTTATAGCAACTGTACCACAATGAGCAGTTCAATTTTTATCAGTAGTATAGCAATAATACACAAGAAGACGAAAGCAGCAATCGAAACACTTTTGAGCTGGTCTGCTAAACCCTGTGTTTGTGTTTGACTATTTGAATCTGTCTGTAGTTATGATACTCTGCGTATAAGGACATACACCAGAAATTGATTATGTCTCTAAGAAACTGTAAAAGTTACGTAACTTACGAATATCACCAATCAATAAACATCAAAAGTTTGGAATAATTAAGAACATTCGTGCAATTTTGTCTGTAATGATAAATAAATATTAACAAAAAGCTTGAAAAGAAAGTTATTAAGATGGTTTGCATTCCGGAGCTCCAGCATTGGAAGGCCGTTTCTGATGCGACACTGGATTCCTTTGACATCTTTGGTTCGTAAGTGGTGCGTCTTTATTTTGGGTAGGTTGCTGTGGATGAACTGACGCTGGTGTGACGAATGCATTTGTAGTGGGATTCTAGTATGGAATGTAATTCAGGTAAGAACGTGTAGGGCTGAGTATTCACATTACTATAAGCATATTGTATAGCACCAGTAGTGAATCAAATAAACGCACTTGAACAATGTGATGATGACTTCTGTTCAACGCACTACAACAGAAGCTTTGGCTCACCGCATTTGCTATCGGTAAAGATAAAATTAACTAATTCCTTAACCAAGGCATAGAATATTCTAAGTAGCATACCAGACAGCTTAAATAATGAAACAAAACAGGAGAGAGAGAGGATTGATTGCTGTCATATTAAACATCCCTTAAAATCGATTAGAAAGTTCAAAAAAGTTACAATAAAAGAAGTAGTGGTGAAACTACTGGTAAGAAATTTTTAATTATTATTGTTCCGCTTGGGTTCCAAGTGGAATATAGGGCTTCAATAACACACCTCCACTTTGTTATGATTCCTGCTGTCCTCTTTAGGTAGGCCCACGATTGCCCATAATCTCTCATCTCCTTCCCACACGATCTCCTCCATGTAACCATTGGACGACCTACTCGTCGTTTCTCATTCAGACTCCACTAGAGAGCCTGGCGCGCGATGTCATTCGACGGCCTCCTTAGCCTGTGTCCAATCCATCTCTGTTTACCCACGCATACTTGTTGGACGATAGGTTCTAAGTTTGTTGCCAGGCTTTCTTGTTGCTTATTCTTTCTGACCGGCCATTTGATCCTCAGTATGGAACTAAAACAACCATTGATAGAAATCTGTAACCTGTTGAAAATCCTTTTTGTGACACGCTGGCCAAGCTTCTGACCCATATATAAGAACTGACCGACTTCACATTTGTGGTGAATATCCAAATCTTGTTCTTTCTGCTGCGAGTTAAGAAGATTTCCAAATTGATTTCAGGTTGATGAAGGGGTATCTCAGCATTCCGATCCTGACTCTGACATCTTCATCCGTGCCTGTAGTTGAAACGATGCTGCCTAGATAAGTGAAGGAAATAACCTCTGTCAAAATTCTCCCGTTGATGGTGATTGGTGCAGGGTATTATTGTGGTTGGTGAGGTTCGTTGGCTATCTTCATCACCTCCGTCTTCTCGATGTTCACCTGGATTCCTGTCTTTGCTGCTTCTTCCTCCAGTTTGTTGGTTTTCTCCTACAAGTCTTCGAGTCTGTGTGACACTAGACATATATCATCTGTGAAATCCAGATCTTGTGGAGTCTTCTCATTCCCTGAGCGCAGCCTTATGCATAATTCAGTCCACCATGATCAAAATTATCATCAATGATAACAGGCTTTTTGTCTTACTCCTGTATTCATTTAGAATGCCTCTTTACTTTTTCTGTTGTGGGTCACCTGATACCTGGTATTATCATATAGCTAGTTGTTGAATGAGGCTGATAAGGACTTGAGCACTGCACGCCGTAGTGTTGAAGCAGTCAACCCTATCGAAATCAATGAAGTTGAGGGAGGAATTTGACTGCTATTCTGTGCTGTGTTTGATGGTGATGCGTAGAGTTGCAATTTGATCACCACATGATTTGTCTTTCCTGACTCCAGCTTGTTCCGGTGGGACTGGTGGAGTTCTGTATCCAATTCATCTTTTATTCTCTGCAGAATGATGCGACTTAGTATTTTATTTGGTGTGGACAAGGGCATTATTCCACGCTAGTTTTGAAGAGGCAGGCATGAGTCGCCCTTCTTCGGTAGCTTAACAAGATAGCCAGCCCTTCTTCCAATCGGTAGGCACTTTTTTCCTTCCAAACATTTTACAATAATGGTGCGTTTTCAGTGCCTCGAAGAAATTAACAGCATTTTCAAGAACGTTTTATACACAGAATTGTATATTAGTAAGATATTTAATAAGCTTTACTTAGAGTTCGCTGATATTATGACACAAACTGTTGACAAGATCTATCGACTGTACAAGCCTTCCATTTATATAATAAGAATATCTGTATGAAACAATTGATCTAGACGCAGATTAAAGGTCATTTCGTCGCTGCTCCTTTGGTGCATGTTATCAAGTTGCTGGTCGTAAGAGAATGACGAAGAAGTATGGTGCATTAATTAATCAGGGCACTCTATCCAAATGCATGCAACTGAGTAAGACCTTACTGAGTGTTGTCATCTGAAAAGACAACAACCGGTAGTGTCCGTCAATAATGCCCGATATCTCCATTTTAATTAATTTCATCAAAGATATACTGGTGGATAGGGCTCTGATCTACCTGAACTACTTAGGGATTGACTTGTGTTTAGAAGGAGTTTTCACTAACTGCAAGTTTGCAGATGATATAGTCCTTTTACTAAGTAGGGGGGTGCTAGCAAAATGCGTTCTGTTGAGCAAAGTTCCTAGTATGTTTGGCATGCAATTAGGTCCTGTCAAATACAAGATATTGCTGCAGCACTGGCCTACACCAACTCCTATTTTTAGAATACTGAGTGAATATGTTGGTCACTCTTGCTTTACAGACATTGTTATCAGCCTTAATGCACTAATGGCTGCGACATCTCAGCATGGATACAAAAAGCTTTTTGGACATTTACCAACATTATTTCATGTTTAGTATAAGAGACACATAAGACTATCCACCAAAGGACGTATATACTACGCAGCACCTTCCTCCGTCCATCATAGCTGCGAGGTCACTTGTTGAAAGTAGGAGATATGATGAGGCTGGTAGTGTGTAAGTTTGGCGAATTATGCTAAATGCAAATCTGTATCATGGTGGTTTAGGCAGCCAACATAGCACATGTCGACGGTAGTGTTCAGTTTTGCTGATCTAAAATTCTACCTTCTTTCATCAAAAGGCAGCTGACTTCTTTTGTCCATTCAAACTGAATGACACTTTAGATCCCTTAGTTGAATCTCCAGGATTCGGATGTCATTCATATAAATCTGTAAGGACATTAACGATTCCAGATCTACACGCTGACTAGAACATGTAGGTATTGAAAATATTCATTATTAAATTAAAGGTAAATTCAACTGTGAAAACTATTCACTTGATTTAAATCTCCAGAAGAAACTGACAGTTTTAATTAAATTATTCCACCTGTTGACACTCTCATACCTTCTGAATTACTGAGGAAAAATACCAAAAAACAAACGTTTGTTAAGAAAAAAAATATCCAAGTAAGAAAAGGACAATAAATAGAACAGAATAACACAGATTCATTTCATTTGTAAGCTGCTAAATTTGATCGTATCATGGTAAACATCAGAGCTTCTTGTATCGCGCAAGCAATTAGGAAGTAGCTCAGTGCTAGACTGAATTAGGTGTGATTATCTATTAGAGCGTAAACAACGCCACCTTTACTCTGGACTCTTAATAATCTTTATCGATGCAAGCTTCATTCTAATCCCGGATATTTGGAATAGTTAGTGAAGATGCTTTTATTATCTCCAGTGATGAAACGCGGAAATTCCGTAGACCTTTTTGAAGGAATAGATTGATCTCATGATGATTGCAA